GAGAGGCCGCGGGGACCCCAAGAAGAACCAACCAGCCCCGGCGGCCGCCTCGCCGCCGCCGCTCCCGAAGCACTCCCGTACGGGCTGTCCGCAGCCCCGGCCTCATGTGGCCCCGTCCGCCTCCGGGGGTCCCGGGTCCGGCATGGGCTGGAGAAGGAGGAGGCCCCTCCCGCTGCTGCCTTTCCTTTCCCTCCGTGACTACGGCTTCTGCATGGCCGCCCTGCTGCTCTTCTGCTTAGGCTCCCTCTTCTATCAGCTCAACGGGGGCCCTCCTCACTTTCTGCTGGACCTGAGGCACTATTTGGGTAAGGCCACGGACGGAGAAGGCGAGCAGGGATGCTCTTGGCCGCGGAAGGAGCAGGAAGAGCCAGGCCGGGGACCCCGCGCTTCCTTGCTGGAGGAAGCTTTCCCGAGGCGAGAGCCGTCTTCCTGAGGGGAGAAGGGAGGGCGAAACGGCTTCGCGGGCTTCTTTATGTACTCTGGGAAGGGGGCGGGGGGGGTCTCCGAAGTTTAAATTGGGTCCCACTTGTTGTCAGGGGCATCTTTTCATAGCCCTGTGCCTGCCATCAATTCGTAAGGGGATCATCTATCCAGGAAAGTTAACCACCTCCTCTCTGAAGTCAGTAGAAAGGAAGAGGGTTAATCTGTGAGGGTTTGTTGGCTTTCCAAACAAGGTGTGCTTGTAACAGTAAGTTGGTAAATAGTAGCCTATCTGAATATGCTGACTTAAATATTTGGAGTTGGGAGGAGAGTTGTCTTTGCCAACTAATCAGAATAATTTCCTTGTATGCTTTATTAATACTGAACAAGAAATCAAAGTTTTGTCCTCATAACATAACATAAAATAAATCCTATTTATTTTAACTGCTGCTGACAGGATCAAGTTTTTTAAGTGTATTAAAAGATAACTTTAATTTGTGTTTATGTGGCCCTAAATAAGAAATAAAACTTTAAGGGAGAAGTAAGTACTTATAACACTTGTAGCAGTTGCTTTTATGAGTCCATGTCTCCTTAGCCATATCTTTTTACTGATTACTTCAATAGGGTCCTCAATATGCACTTGCCATCATATAAATTAATATATAGCTCTATCCTTCAAACGTTGGAATTTTAGCTATTACAATTAATGTTACATTTTTTTTTCTACCTATCACTTTATAATCTTTTAAATGTTTGGTAACTGACATGTTCTTCACCTTATGAAGCCATTCTCTAGCAAGAACAAATAACATCCCTTGTGTTCTTCCATGTGGGGTCTTTGTTATGGAATAGTTGGGGAACTACAGGGTGACAAAGAAGTGCAGCTTCACTTTTGACTTTACTAGATAAATAATTGAAGTTCATGTTTAGTCCCAGCCTCCCAGTGAGAAAATATTGTTAACCAGATGAGCAGTAGACTGCTGTTGGTCATTCAAGGTAGTGTTGGATAACAAGGCTATAATGAATTTTAATGTAAGAGACTTACAGAAACTGAGTGGAAAGTAATGGACACCCTATGTTACCATAGACTTAAAATAGTTATAATAAGGCCCTTGGGTCTAGGCATCTGCCAAAGTCATCCGGTGATCCCAGCGGTGCTGCAAGTGGCAGATGTTTTCCCATAGGCTGGGTGACATCCAGTATAGCTGTAGTCTTTGGAATGTTTGGAGAAGTGTATATGTTGGTGAAGTCTATCTCTTTGTTGTTATTTAATGCTGCCTCCCTAAAATGGTCTTATTTTAGGTAATTGTAATGCATGAAATGTCCCTTAAAGATGTGTCCATTTGTTCCATTTCCTTTATGTTTCTCCTGTTAACTTTATATAGACTTCACTGTTAACGTTTAGTTCAGTATCCTGATAGATTTGCATGTGTTTTACATGCAGCCCATCTGATTTAGTCTCTACCACTTTCAGATCATATTGGAGCCTGTATAGCAGCTGTAAGTCTGTTTTCTGACAGATCTGTATATACCATGTCTAGCAGTTGTATATGTGTCTGTTTATTATAAAGCATATTATTGAATACATGCATCTATTTCAGAGACTATTGTGTTTATGTATTTTCCTCTGTTAACATCACTGATTCCCAACTTGATTTATTTTGGGTAATTTCGGAATTCAGTGATGAAGCTTCCACATCTGTGTCCATATACTTTTTTCTCTTGTAAGAGAGACAACAACTAGAATAGCATTTTTCAAGAAGATCCCCCTCACCACTTAAGAAATGGAAATAAAAATCTTCTTTTGAAGCTGCTTTTCTATATGCCCTGGGCGGCTTGATCTATCATATTGTATTGTGAGTTTTGGTACTTCTCTGTTCCCTTTACTCACTAAATTCATTTAATACTGAAAAATTCCTTGGAGGAATGTGAATCTCTCTTAAGTTTGTGATTCATAAACCGATAGGGATTTAGAGAGTGAGCTTCTAGTTTCCTGAAGCAAAAAATAAGTGATGCCCAGCATAAGTCAGATTTCTGGTTTAAAGTCTACAAACACAGGAGGTAGAGAATTATGAAGTACATAAACATGAAAAGTGCTTAGAATTGTTTTCCATTTAGTTCAGGGGAAAGGCAGTCATACTGTGTTAATTTGTAAGAAAAAAATAAAACAACCTTGATACTAAAAATACAAATATATCCTGCTTATTCTTTTACACATATTTGGAGTACAGATATTTCAGAAACTAGTGTTTCTTAAACTTGGCAGCTTTAAGATATGTGGAGTTCAACTCCCAGAATTCCCCAGCCAGCATGGTGAGCTAGAGACAAGAAGTATTCATAAAAATCTATGTGGTACTTGATACTTGATGTACTGTACTTGATGTACAGTTACATTCACTATTATATAAGAGACATATTCTTGTATGGTAAGGCTTCTCCCTGTTTGTTTCCTTCTGTGTCCTTTCCATATTTGCTCCAAAGAGTCTCTCCCCTTGCAGATGCCATTTTGTTAGGAAACAGATACAGTTGGATTCTCCAATCTTTCAAGGATGTAGGCTGTAGAAATCAATGATGAATGTATCCGTCAGTTTGCTCATATGACAGATAGTATCTCTGCTGTGTAGAAAGCTTGGTCTCTCCCCATGCCTCAAATGTCTGCTTTGAGTTAAGATACAAGCAAGTGCTGGAAAAAAGTAGAGGTGAAAATGTTAGGCTGTGGATGTAGACTCTTTCTTATGCTACAATATGTGGTCTGTTAAGTGCAAAAGTAGTTTCTGTCACGGTAGTCAAAGTTTTGTTTAGTAATAAAGTTGGTAGAGGTTCATTTTATTAGAATGTAGTTGAAACTTTGGAATACAAGTAATAGTATCTAATAATTTTTACTTGAATTAGTCTGAATCCGTGATGCGCAAATACCAGGAATCTCTAGAAAGTTGATTCTGGTGGTCAGCATGGAAAGCTTGTAACAAATCCTTATAAGCCAACCATCCCACAAAGAGTACCTCTTTTAAAACGTAAAAAGCTACATCTAGTGCTAGGATGCAAGCAGGAGTGGAAGAAAGGGACTACTATGCATACATACACGTTACCTCTGTGGGTTAGAAAGCTGTAATCAAAACTTGTAGGTTCTGTCTTTAATAATTGTGTGGTATCTTTGGCAGAAAAACAACCAAACCTAAATTTAAGGATTTTTTTTTTTTTTTGCAATATAAAAAGTGTGTTTGTATATATGTTTTTCCTAAATCCATAGGAGGCATTCATATTATTTGACTAGAAGGTTTTGGGTTTTACTTACTAATTTTATCGATTTTGAACTTTCAAGCTTTTTGTAGATACTTTTTGTTGTGTGTTATCCATGTAGAATTTGTTAGGGAAGGGTTTTGAAACGGGCAAAAAGACAATTACACTGTTGGAGTCTTGAAAATTCAGCCCTCGTGGAGTGTAATCACATTGCAGTCAGTGCTTCTTGTCAAGGAGTTATTGAGAAATAAATGATGTACGGTAGTGGTGGCTATTATGATCTTTTCAGTTTCCCTTGTTTAACTGTGCCCAGCAGGTTAAGAGGAAAACTTTCTTCTAAGAAAATGAATATGTGTGAAATTGGGAAAAAGAGGCAGAAATTATATTCTTTGTGTTCTTTTTCCAGTGTCCTTACTGTGTTTGGAGTGCTTTCATTAACATCCACCCAAATGTCTTGTACAGTTGGGAGAAAAAGCAGTTATGAAGATTATGCAGCAGAATTAATGTCTCTGAAGAACATAGGCAGTGTTCATACAGAACACTCTTGTATGAAAAAGCCACAAAATGCATTAAAACAACATGATGAGAGCAGCAAGATTACATGTGCCTGCTGTGGACGAAAGCATGGAATTTGTCATAATATAAAGTCAACATGTCTGACAAACTGTACTCTGTATCAGCTGTTGTTGTCATTCTCCTAGATGAGAATAATATTTTTTCAACCCTATGTGTGTTATTTATGGCTGCTACAAAAGACATCCAAAGTAAGAGGTATAGCAGAAATTCCAGGGAATATTAATTCTATCCATTCATCCTGATTATTTTAACAATGCTTCTTTGTTATGTTGAGGTGCTTATCTTTTCAGGTTGATTTATTTTCTATTTTACTTTATGCTTTTTATATATATATATGAAATTACCTGAAGCCATTAGTGCTGTACATCAGAAATAATTTTGAAATATAATCTGTCTGCTGGCTTACACTTTACAAAGCATTTATTTAGGTTATTTCATTCCCTCATCCCAGCCTGTCCACAGATTTTAGCATGAGGAAACATACTGTACTGCCTATGAGTATTTGTTTCTACATAATTTGCAG